CTGGAAGCTCGTGCCCGAGTTGGATATGACCTCAATGGGCTCGAGCACCCTACGGGCATTTGCCCGTTACAATAAGAGCAGGATTTGAGGAATATTGGTAAGGCAATGTAGTTTAAGAAGGCTGAACTAATCAATCCACCAGAAGTTCTGGTTTAGAGCCAGCAGATCCAGCAAATCCAGCGGGGCCAGCATCGACACTATTATATATTTTGTACATGTTGGAGGATAGTATCAGGTATAAGTGCCGCGTGGTGCCGTTAAGCCTGTCATGACCAGAACAGATGTAAATAACAGTTAACTATTACTTATATTAGTAAGTATAGCTAATTCTTACTAATTCTTAGCTAGGGAGGTATGTTAAAGTACTGTATCTTTAGTACTAGATTATATATTTTATACTTACTTATCTTGCCTATTCTAGTTAGTCTTATTTAACTAGAATATACATAACTTCTGGTCTTATCACTCCTTACATAGAAAATCACATACATTCATGGACACAGCATGAATATGTCCCAGTTTGACCTCTATATGCTCAGATTACCAGCATAATCATATTATGATATTACCTGCAATCTGACATAAGATATCTTATTAAGAGAATATTATAAATAATCTATAAACTATAAATCTATGGGCCGTGCTGGTTCCAGATGGGAGGCATAGTTACACGACAGGAAAATACCAAGAGCTTTTTGAGGAAGGGTTCCTAATAATTTTCACCTAATGTTAGCCTGAATTGGCCTCATTTGTGTATATCATCTGTGTACCTGATATACTAATTTTCATCTGAGAGCGACTGGTGATAGAGCAATCAGTTCTCATTGATCGCCCTGGTATCTGTTATCTAGTACTAAGCATATATATGGTGGCTGGGCATGATTCAACCAAGGGGTTGAATCATAATAGGTCTTTTGCCTCAGTTGGTTAATCTTCGCAGCCCAGCGCGGGGTTCTAACAGTATCATTGCTTTGAATATCAAGAACTCAGTTCTTACCCAGAAATGATAAGCAGTCTACTCATCCGAGAGAAGGATCTATGCTGGCGATTATCTATATTCCATCTAGTCCCACAGACGCCCGGAGCTGTCATAGCATTAGTGATTCTAGCATCTCCCGTCCTCATACCATTTGTGGTGTCCTACATGAGAATTGCAAGACAATTGAAGATCAGAGGTCGGATCTCTGCATTCGCACCCAATGATCGGACAGATACAGCCGTACTATGTCTCAGCGGCTCCTCAGGCGATTGTATTGGCGGTACATGAATCATCCCTGTGTCACAAACTCAACAGATCGCGGACCTTTTAACTGCCAGGCCCAGCCCAATGCAATTTTCTCTTCCTGCAACTCAATTGAATTGTCTTTCAGCATCTAGACTACCCAGGTTACCACACAATGACTAAGGACAATGAATACGGGATTATCGTTCTTCATGACCCGGCGAACACATCTGCTACCGACGAGAAAAGCTGGGATAATAATATCGTTTTCGAGTAAGTTTTCTTATCAATCAGATGCATCATTACCTATATTTTGCTATGGAAGGCGACGGCGGCTTATCAGGATACAGTTTGGTCGCAATCCATGGCCTGAACGGCGACCCTATGCACACATGGACTCACACTGAAACTGCAGTAATGTGGTTAAGAGATCTTCTACCTGCGGCGATTCCAGACATCCGTATCATGACCTTTGGATATAATGCCCGCTTCAAGAATTTTACCGCGCAGCAAGATCTACGAAGTATATCATTGAAGTTGCTCGCTGAGCTAGTAGATCTCCGGACAACGGAAGATGTCAGTGACAGCCCGGCCCGTTCTCAGCAATATTTCGCTAACTCGACCTTAAGGAGAAATCCCGGCCTATTGTGTTTGTTTGCCACAGCCTGGGGGGAATTGTAGCGAAGAAGGTGACTGCCCCTTGTTTGATCAATTTAGGACCTACACTTAGCCACTGAAGGCGCTGTTGATAGGTTGTACCGAGGAGCAAGAGCACGTCCAGCAGGCTGTATATGGAATCTTATTCCTTGGTACGATTATCCCGAGGATTCGGATTTACATCATCTTTTGACAAGGGTTAGGCACCCCTCATAACGGTAGCAGCCTCGCAGCCATGGGAAAGGTCCTGGCAAATATTGTCTCAGCATTTTCGCCAATAAGAACTCCCCGCGCGCTTATAGGGACACTGCAGAAGGACTCCGAGGTCCTGTTGGAGATCACTGAGGACTTCCTCAAGAGGAGAAGAAAGATCCACCTTGCATCCTTCTACGAGCTCGAGTTCACCTCCATCGGCCCTTTCTTAAGAAAACTAGTAATTCCATCTCCTTTGATTGTTTGACATGGCTAAAACCGCCTTTAGATTGTCGACCAGCGCTCCGCGATTCTAAATGTTCCCTATGAGATCACCGTCCCCCAATTCGCCGACCATAGGAATATTGCCAGATTCAGATCTTCGCAGGATCGGTCCTTTCGCCCTGTGCTTTCTCGGCTGAAAGAGTTTGCTCAGACCCTGGGCAGTGGCCATTCGGGTGAAACGCGGTCCCTCACGGACCAAAACAATGGTAGAATTCTAGGGACATTCTTGTCGTGCCATACTGACTTCTACATAGAGTCTTCCATTCCATTCGACCTAAAGACACAGCCATGCTCGTTCTTCCGCGGAAGAGATGATGTATTTGATATGCTGGATGTGTACTTCCATGAAGACCAGAAGCCATCACAAAGCAGACGGACATTCGCAATATGTGGCCTTGGTAGGTTCCTGCATGATGATATGTATATACTCTTTTGCTAATTTTGCGCAGGGGGGACGGGGAAAACACAGACAGCTTTGCACTATGCCGTCCGGAATTTGTCAAAGTATACGACAGGGATTGGGTTTATAAACGCAACATCACTGGTCTCGCTTTCGGCAGACTTTGACCGCTTACATGACCTTCTTAGGCTTGGAGATTCTAAGAACAAGATCGGAGCTGTTAAAAGTTGGCTATCTCGTCCTGAAAACAGTAAATGGCTTTTGGTGTTCGATAACGCCGATGACCTGGACACAGTACCAGTTCATCAGTTTTACCCGGCCGTGAACTGGGGCCACATTATTATCACCAGTCGTGACCAGGCGGTGATTGGCAGCATAGCCGAGAACGGCCACATTTTGAGTCCCCTGACGGAGAACGACGCAGTGCAACTACTACTCGAAAAGTCAGGGATCCAGCGCCCTACCGAAGGTGATATTGAAGACGCAAGGACCGTCACAGGACTTCTCGGGTCTCTCCCTCTCGCCTTGGTACAGGCTGGGGCATTCGTTCGCTCAAGACATCGAAGTCTTCGGGAATATTGTAGGCTGTATACGACTCGGCGAGATGATTTGCTTGGCTTCGCATCACGTCTTGGAGACTCTGAAAAGTTGGTCTTAACGACCTGGGAAATCAATTTTAAGCAAGTGGAGCGGGAGTCCTCGGGAGCTGTCTCTTTGCTTCTTCTATTCTCTTTTCTGGAACCATCTTCAATTCCGGAAATGCTTCTACATCGAGGCACCACTCCCCAAAGAAGATGGAGTGAGGATGGTGAAATGACCGAGGTAAATGCGGAAATGGAAGGGGTGGACAAACAATTGGTCCAGGTCATCCAAGGAGATTTTGAGTTTGACATGGCCGTGGAGAAGCTACTTTCCTTCTCGCTGATTTCCTGCAACAAAGAGTCCGAGGGGCTTAGAAGCTTTTCCATTCATCCGCTTGTCCAGTACTGTGCTACAAAACGGTTATCATCGGTTGATGTGAGGAAATGGCGATGGCAAGCTCTTTTGCTCGTTTGTCATGCGTTTCCGAGGAATCGCTTCCTTGAGCCGCTGTAGGTTCCTTCATCTTTCTTCGAAAATCAGTTGCTAATGCCTGCTACAGAAATGGAGACGTTGGAAGGACTTTGTTACCCCATCTGAGTCGAGCCCTTTCTGAATACGATACGATGTGTCTCGAGCACGGAGACCCTGCCTCCTTTCGGCACGAACTCGCATCGACTCTACTCGCCGCTTCCCGGTTTTCGAATGCAAAATGGAAGGTCGAAGCGATTGACCGTACCAAAAAGCTCCTCGAAGATGACAGTGATCGTTTTCTTAACGCCTGGCTAGCACTTAGGGAGAGCTCGGTAATGAGAATGTCGGGAAAATTGAGAGAGTCGGAGAGCGCCCTGTATAGGTTCTTGCACGACGCGGCTGTACCCAAAGAGAAAGAGTTGGAATTGAGTAGGAGATATAACGCCCAACGTGGGGAGCTTGTCATTTCGTTCGCGGAGAACCTAATTCGCAAAGGGAAGCTCATCGAAGCCAAAGCGGAGTTGTCAGAGTGGAAGCCGCTGGACATTGCCCCTTCCTCTCTTGAAAAAATAACTTCAAGAGCCCGAGACATAACTCTGGGTAAGATCCTTCGACTCCAGGGCCTCTTCCATAAAGCCCTGGCTCAACTCGATGGTATCCTTCAAGGCTGCCTTCTGGACGAATACTTTGAGGGAACTGGCTGGTATCGGGTCCTCCTTTCCGAAGTCGCCGACCTACGTTGCGCATTGGGCCAGCCGCTTGAGGCTGAAAAGCTCCTGATTCAGGAGTTGACCCCAATGAGAGAGAAGGGCACTCAAGACATTGCCACGGGCCGACGGCTAAGAATGTCGCTCGCGGAGACCTACCTGGAACGAAACATGTTTGCGCAGGCGGAGGAGCTTCTGCTGGAGCTTCAACGCGCATTTTCGTCTTCTGGTGAACCGGACTATAATGCCCAATTCTACATTTTCCGTGTCTGGATTTCCCTGGCGAGGATTTCTCATATGCAGTCTGAGTCGGAGCAAGCGATTTCACGCTGGAGAAATGCTTTATCGGCCTTGGAGCGCCTGGGCCAGGACAAGAGTTTCAATGCTGGTCTTGTGCGTTGTTCCGTCGCTCATGCGCTTTTAATGACTGGATGTGAGACGGATAGCGCGCATATTCTGCAAGAGGCGAGAACAAACATGGCATCAGAGGCTCGGGTATATTGGATTCCCGTTTTCAATTCCCACTGGCATGACTACATTACCAAAGCCACGCAAGTTTTTTGACGGCATGTATGGAGTTTATTTTAGGCGCTGATTGACAGCCGACAACCGAAACCTTCAGTAGCAAGCACCGTAAAAATAAGTCTATAACTATAATCCCTTGGTGCAATCCCGGCAACTATTATCAGATAGGATCATAGGGCGGTTGCGTCTCGTAGCTGTTGCGGGGTAACGGACTTAGTGTGCCACGTGCCAGCTGAGATTACCTGACACTGACAGACTCAGGAAGAATCCGAATTAAACCATCACAGAAGCCACAATGAAGCGGACTTACGAGGTATTTCCCTCCACAGAGCTGTGATACCCGGACTAACAACGCGAAGAATGCACTCAAACTCCTCGAAAGTAGAAGACGTAAAGCCCGACCAACGAGTCTGACAACTTCGGTTTCCACAGCCCAAGATACAACGACAACTAATCGAAATTCTCTCAGAGGCCTACCGAGCTTGGTTGGGATGAAGGAATGGCTGCAGGTTTTAGGGCACTCAGTACGAGATATCAATGAACTGCGATACACTGGCGATCTGACTTGTTCCAGGATAATGCGGTCAACAGCTTGAATGTAATCCATGTCAGCGGCACAAAGGGGAAGGGTAGCACCTGTGCTTTTACACGGAGCTTTCTTCATGCACATAGCATGAGGACAGGATTTCCCAGGAGGATTGGACTCTACACCGGCCCACATTTGCAATGCGTTCGCGAAAGAATCCAAATTGACGACCATCCGGTCCCGGAAGATTTGTTTACCCGATATTTCTTCGAAGTGTGGGATCGCATTATGCCTAAGGATGTAGAGCTGGACTCGGGAGTCGCTAGGCAGCCTCGTTACCTGCAGTTTCTCGCCCTGTTGGCTTTCCACACCTTCATCAGAGAAGAGGTTGATGCGGCAATTTTCGAGGTCCACCATGGCGGAGAGTATGATGCAACAAACGTGATACAGAATCCCGTTGTAACCGGAATCACATCGCTTGGAATGGATCATGTTGCACAGCTTGGCCCTACCATCGAGACAATCGCTTGGCATAAAGCTGGAATATTTAAATCGGGTGCGCCTGCTTTCTCCGTAACCCAGGAACCAGACCCCGCGGAAGTGATGCGAAAGCGTGCTCTTGATAAAGGCACTACTCTGACGTTCGTATCGGCGAATGAGTGCCTTCCCACTGATGGTAGGGTACTCAGCGTCCCAGTTCAACGGTTGAACTGTTCCTTAGCGCTCGAGCTCACTAAAGCATTTCTTCGAACCAAGGCACCTGGCCATACACTTAGTGATGCAGACATCCGGCATGGTGTGGAAAATTTCCGGTTGACTGGGAGATTCGAAATTATTGGTGAAGGGCAGTTACAATGGTTTGTGGACGGGGCGCACAACGTTCTGAGTTTAGAACAAACTGCAGAATGGTTTGCCAGGAATGCCAACAATGAGCATAAGTAAGTCAACCAATCCAGTTCAAGTAGCGATCAGCTAAGATAGTAAGGTGTCGCGCCCTTATCTTCAGTCATTTATCAGAAGAGCGAGATGGGGTGACGCTCGTACGATCTTTAGCGCATGCACTCTTCAGAAACGAGGTGAAACCTGGCCACGTCATCTTTACTACATATCAGGAGAAAGAGGATGACCCTATCGGTGAGTAGAAAAGGAAGAAGCTTCTGCAGATCTTGACTGATGAAAATACGTTATATCGACAGACCAATCCATCAAAGCCTCTGAGCCACGATCACATGACGTATGTGCTTTGTACGCCTCGGTGTGGAAGGGACTTGATCCCCAGGCTATGGTTACAACTGCGCCAACGATTGAGAGAGCGGTAAGGCTTGCCAGGGAAACAGGGGTCCGTGAAGATGGAATGCAAGTGCTTGTTACGGGGAGCTTATACATGGTTGGTGGAACACTCAAATTTCTGAGGCCATCGTCGCGTACGACTACAGATGATTAAGGCGATGATTCGAGATGTGGATAATATTGAGTCCTTGGATTGACTGCCCCGTTTCAGACACTACATAACAGCACACGTGGGAATACAAGCGGATATTATTATTAGAAGCCGGCTTACCGTAATACGTTCAAGCCTAAAGGCTTAAATGAGAGGATTGTCAATCATTCCTTAATGACAGTATGACTAACTAGTTACTCAGGAGCTTCATGAGCAAAAGACTGAGCCTACTGGAAGGGACTGGGAGTTACGGGAATTCATTCTCGGCAGATCGAAGTTGTCAATACAGAGACTCTCATATAGCTATTTAGTTTGCACAGATCCCATAGGAGATCACCCAGGAGTAATTCAGTTGATATTTCCAGGCACTTAAGGATATAGAACTACTGCAGTGAGCCCATGGCAACTCTCCCTGCTGAACTAAGTGACAGGGAGAAAACACGCCGTTTTACTCAGTCCATCGCATGCCAATCGTTAGTTCCTCAAGAATATCTACAAGATGCATTTACTTAGGAACTTCTGATTGCAGATATTGCACTGAGAGTGAACTTGCTGAAATATGTTGGGTGTCATTGCATTTGACATTTTGTAACATCCCCATGGCTGTAGAATTATTGTGTTTGCTTATCATAGTCTAAGGTCCATTGACCTAGTCAGATGAATAGAATTAGGGTGCTTATTGAAATACACAATACATGATGGAGGTAATCCTTGTTAAATCCCCTTGTTCAGGCTCTTTTGTTCATGGCCCGTTCAAACTTTCATTTCAAGCGACTTTGAACTATACAATTAACCATTCCTCTTGACACCCTGCTGAAAAGGCACTTCAGAACTCTCCACAGTTACTAAGACCAGCAATATCAACATCCTCCGCCACCTCCGCTACCACAACTTGCACCACAGTTTGCAGCACAAGCAGCCGCAATCGCCTGTGTTCCACAAGCCCCACAACTAGAAGAAGCAGTGACCGACACCACAAAGTTTGCATTTGGCGCATTCCAGTCCTCAACCGGAGACACCGCACACGATCTAGGCGGCGCGCACCCCTCAAGGCCCCAGAACACCCGGTCCCTCTCCTGCCCCGTCCTCGGCATGTGCAGCTTCTCTCGCAAGGTCTCATAGCCTTGAGCGCGGGATTGACGAGTGTTCGAAATCCACTTTGCGACGAAGAACTCGTCGTGCGTGCGATGCTCCAGCGCGTGGCTATACGGCTGTGCGCGGTTGATACCGCCTAGCTTAATTCGATCGGTTGCTGGGTCGGACTGAAGGTGGAGCCATTTTGTTGCGGCGCGGAAGTGCGGGTCATTGGACATGGCTGTCGCCCCGGCGCAGAGTGTGTCTAGTGCTGTGAGGAGGGTGAGGCGGTTCTGCATCCAGGTCACTTCGGATGGAGGGTTTGATTCAGAGGGAGGGTAGGCGAGTGCGTTTCTTGAAAGATGGAGGGCAATGATCGACCAGGAATCGAATGGAAAGGCCCAGAGGTGCTTGGACAGTGTGCAGTCACCGCATTTGACGGGGTAGCGGTAGAGTGCTTCCGTGCAGTCCCAGGGGAAAAAGTTCTGGTGGGGATAGAGATGTTGCTTGAATCCGGCCCAGTCGAACCAGTACTCGTGGAGTGAGTCAATCAGGTCGGGCCCAGTGTAACAACCAAAGTGGAAGCGGCGGATATACTCCTCTGTCAGTCCATATGGGACGTCGCTGATGGTCGTTGGGTGAGAGAAGGGATTCTGTGTCGCGCCAGGGCGACATAGGAAGCTTACTCGGTAGAGGGCTTGCGGGGGGTCTTTTTCCGAGCTAAGGATGGAAGCCTCAGAAAGAAGGGGACCGAAAACCTGCCAGTCGAGCAGCGAGTCACAGAATTGCTGGCAGTTGTTGGTCGATGCGTCCCATGCGAGTGTGGTTTTGCTGTCCAGTAACTTTCCCGCGATACTTCTGAGATAAACAGACACCCATGGACTGAGAAATGTTTTGACTTTGTCCTGCAACTCGGATCGTGTACCATATGCGCTGTCACTGCTTGCTTTCACTAAGAGTTCAATGATCTCGTGCTCTGCCGTTGACAAAGGCCAGCCCGTGAAGGGAGTTCCGACGACTTGCTTCAGGATAGCTTGGAAGCGTTTTAATTTCTGCGGACGAATGCCCGGCTGGCGCCACAGCTGTCTCTCCAACTCTCCACAGACGGCAAGGGAAATACGGTCCGCTTTTTGCTGCCCTTGTCCGAAAATTGGATCACGAAGGGTTATTCCAGCCCCATTTCGACTCCTGCTATCATTAGCACTTTTCCTCCACACGGCAGAGCAGACTTACTCTTTAGTGCCGTTTTCAAAGACCAGTGGTCCTACTCGAACAGCCACACGGATGTTCTTCCATGGATTCTCCTGGACGAAATCCTGACACAGCCACTCGTCCCCGACCAGGCGCATGTCGCCAGACCTCCAAGCGGCATCATATTTGGCAGACCGCCTGTTGTAGTCTTCTTGAATCACCTTCGCCAAGGGAATAGGTGCATTCGACAGGCCTGTTCTCTTCCGCGCCTCCTGGACGCCCAAGTACTTTGCGTCCGCCAAAATCTGCATCTCTCTTCTGCTCCCCAGCATATATGGCCGCGAATTTTCCGTATGCCGTCTGCGACAAGCCCTGCACCGAGCATGCCTACCGACGCGGGCGACGACCTCATCCGCGATGGAATGCTTGTGTTTTTTGGTGTACGAGGCGTCTCCGTAATGGTGCTCCCAGTAGCAATCTTCGCAAATCGTCTGGGTGGACCTGCCACTGGCTTCAAACATGTTCCCCCGGATGACCTGCTTGCATTCACTGCAAGGGAGGACAGACGGGATGGGACACCCTCTCAACCCTTTCTTGGTCATTCGTAGCTGCGGGGTGAGAGGGCTGGGTGTGCCTGATGCTGGTGAATGCTCGATGGTTTTCTCAATGTCCAGGAATCCAGCTGCTTGAAGGAGCAGCCGTGCTCGCCGCTTGGCGGTATCTGTCTCTATAGGACGCTGTGCCAGGCGTTTGTGCACGGCGAGATTCACCTTCGTCCTGGCCTTCGCGGCGGCCAACTCCATTGCACGGATTTGCGCGCTTCTCACCAGGCGCACTTTGGCTTCAGTTGTACTGGGAGATATTTGGGAGGCGAGCTGGGGGGCTGTCGGCGATGACTGCGGAATGACATTGGCGATGAATGTGTCGAAGCCGCTGACCAGTCTATCGTTCTCGTCTGAGTGGATGTGCTGGAACTGCGGTTGCTGCCATTGTCGTAGAGTGGAAACAATGCAGTCGAGTTCTTCATTGACACCGGTCCAGTAGAGGGATTCAAGCTCTGCTAGAAGATGATCGGCTGCATTGCCGACTTGAGTCCAGGCAGAGTTGCCTGATTTCTCCGAGGTAACAGGCTGAGTCCGACTGGACTTGTCAAATAACCGGGACAATCGCGACATTTGGATGGATGGTTAGGCTGCTAAGAGAGTGATTGAATGACTATGGAGCAGAGTATGACTTTATATCTTCTCCCCTGTGGTGTTGCAGGATCCAAGCCTCCGTGTGTCTGGATGGCGCCTGATTGTAGGATTCCGGGCAACACACAATCCGCCTTGCGCCCAGGTAACAGGTTCACGTGTCGCTCTACCCGAGCTTGGAGCCTGCTGGGTTCGTATTCGATGCATCAAGGCGTATTCCGCCATGCTCGGGCACCGGCGTTGACTCCGCCTGTTCCCATCGCTGACTCGCAAGCTGCGCCTCACGCTTGGCATGGCCCACTGAGGTCAACTGACCTTTCGATATGCCCAGCAATGGCATCTATCACCGAATATTTAACGTCGAGAAGAAACGGAGAAGGACTCGGTATTGTTGCATCCACGATCAAAATGACCATCCTATGCACGACATCGCAGACCGAACTGCACAGTGAAAGCAGACTTTTGAATCCCCTGCTGCGCTACGACTCCTTTTGTAAGCGGTATTTCCACATTAAGGAAGGGATACTGGTTCCCGATCCTACGATCTTCAAGAACATCAATGCGCCGATTACATTGACTGATTCTACGTGCCTCCCCGATGTTGCTCAATGTTCCGCACACTTGGAACTGTTGCAGGCGATCAACCACATCCGCCGGGAAGTCCTCAATTCGACCGAGTTAGACACGATCCTCGACATCAAACCGCAGAAGCAAACAGTGATCAAAAACAGAGGTTACCCGTCGCAGGAAACGATCGAGGTAAAGGACAAGGGCTTTGCGCAGAGACGGCAGGTCAAATGGCCGTTTTATTTAAGGCTTGGAGTGGCGCGATTCGTTGTGTGGTTGAAGAAGATGGATGAGACGTTAGCGTCGAAGGAGAATGAAGCCCTTGAGGTGCCGGCCTGTCCTCCGCTAGGTATGTTATCCATCTATAGCCGAGCAATGAGCTGATGAATAGATGTTCTCATCGCGTGGCACTCGGCCCTCTTGAACCCGGGGTGGTTCAGGAAGTATTGTGAGACCCATGAGATTATGCGTATGCGGCGCGTGCTATTTCCATGGAGCAAGATTGTAAGTCATCGTCCGAGTTGAAAGTCGAAGCTGACTGGTTAGCACCAATGCATCAACACCGAGGACTGGAGTTTCAGCCTGCCATCCAGCGCAAGGGATAACTTCAGGGATTTAACTGGCCAGGAAGCAGACTTACTGGCCTACCTTCTTAGCCCGAAGCCCGAGGTCTATACCGCTCTTTTATTCGTTTATCGGGACTCTGCCCCCACAAACAGACTCTACCTGAGGAAACTCGACCTTCTCCGTCTAAAGAAGATAGAGAAGCCACCGCACAGCGCCTTCGCTGCATCCTGCTACGCAGCCGCCCACCCAGACACAGATGCGACATACCTTTTTGCAGCGATTGAGCGCCAACGTGTCTTCGTCGACAAGATGGTAGGATATCTCTGGATCCGCAGCCCCGGCGTCCACGGGACTCTATCCAGAGCGATTACCCGCTACGAGCACTTCTTAGAGCTGTTCAAACTCCGCCCGGGAACTATTCTTGTCCCGACGCTGGACATTGACCTGGCGTGGCATACGCACCAATGCTCGGCGAGCATGTACGAAGCCAGTATGGAACAACGGGCGGGGAGGTTCATCAACCACGACGATACCATCCCCTCTGGCGTGCTGCGGACGCAGTCGGATGAGACTTCGGTGCTATTCAGGGAGCATTTCGGCCTGGAGTATCATGTTTGCCTGTGCTGGGAGTGCCAGGCCATTCAATCGGCTGTTGACGAGTGGAATGACGACCGAGAGGTGGATTTTGAAAAGCTGGCGGAGAAGGTGGTGGAGGATTTGGCGTCTCATCGGGTGCTTGAGCTGAACCGGCGAGAGCAGATGCGATGAGATCAGAGTAGCCTCTTAAGATGCCAACAATTATAGGTAAACGTGCCATAGTACGCATTACGGATGTACTTTGCGATTAGTGCGATTAATCTAACGGGTCAGTCGAGTCATTACTGGCACTACTGGCGAGCTTGTATTCATATATAAGTGAGCTCCACTCCGTCTCATCATCAACTCTGCTATTGTCTGCAAGTTACAGAGTTCACCAGACAAAAAACATGAAGCTGCTCCTCCTCCTTGCAAGCACTGCCCTGGCAACATGGCACAAACCTCTCCCAGGCCAGTTCTCCCTCCTCGCTCGCGACTCCAATGGCAACTGTACCGCCAAAAACACCTGCTCTGACTGCTACGGCGCAGGAAACATCCTCTGCGACAACGCAGGCTGCTTCAATCCAAATAAGGGGGAACAATGCTGTAGAGATGGCTGTATAACTTCCTCCCGCGACAACCCTACCACTACTGACAGAACTAGATACCTGCGTAGCCAAAGATAACTCCTGCTGTGACACTCTGGTACCTCCCCATCCCTACACTCACTACCCATACTGAAGAACAAAAGGGAACAGGAACACCAGGAACAGATGGCCTCCTTCCCCTGCCGACCGGGTCCGCCTCCGCCTCCTCGACATCCGGCATATTCGACACAATAATCTGCACACCCGAGCAGACCAACGAAGAATGCTGCTCCCAGAGCGGGCTCTATCCGTCCCTGAAATGGTGCTACGGAAGTTACCCCGACCAAATGTGCTACAACCCCAAGCACCAGATCTGCTGTTCCGAGGGGACGGTGTGTTTCGGCGAGGGGTGCTGTGACTTGGTCGTATGTTTTTCCAGTTGTCAATGGAGACTGAGTCTGACGATGACTAGAGCGCGAGTGCTATCACGCCCGATCCAGTGCGTGCAACTGCGTTGCCCGATGGAACTGGGTCGGTATCTGCGTCTACGTGGGGCCTGGGCACCTCGCAGACGATGGCGGGGATGAGTGCGACTGCTACTGCTACTGCTACTGGCAATCCTGCGACCTCTTCGCCAACTCCGAGCCAGAGAACTAATGCGGCTCTGGCGACGGGAATCAATGGTCTGTTGATGGGTGTGGGAGTGGTCATGGCGGGACTGGGGTTGTAGGCTCGAGCGCGAGGGTAGCTAATGCCAATCGGCTGTATACGAGTCGATCATTTCATTTACCAGTAGGCTGAGAGAATCGTCTTGCTTGGAGGCTACGCCAAGGACAGAGTAATTTAGATCTCGTGTAGAATGGCCGTCGGCCAATGTGAGTGAGGCAGGCTCGTATTCGCGCTGATGGCTCGAATTAAGCATAGCCTTAAATATGTCCTGACAACTGAATCATCAGAGGCAGAATATCAGCCTCTGCGTGATATCATGACCAGTCTCACGGTTGCAGAGGTGTCAGGCTTGATCGCCGCGGGCGTGTTCATCCTGCAATTACTCCTCCCACTGTCTCTGCCCATCATTCTCATCGCTTTCCTGTTCGACGAGAACTCGATCATCAGTTGGTACGTAGTATGTTCCACATTCTGACAACGATCTAACAGGCCAGGAATGTGCTCGCCCGCTTTCTCCACTCAACCCTATGGCCCAGCATTCTCGGCTCCAGCACGGCCGCCATATCCGGCGTGCAGAAGAGGCTGACCATCACCGGGTACGCGCAGACGATCATACTCGGCGTCGTCTCCGTTGCCTCGATCGTGACTCCACTGGGCCTGTACGAATCCATTGAGCCGGCGGGGTCAACGACGCCCGAACCATTCGGCTACATCAAAGGCACATCGGCGTTCAGCTACGGCAGGCCGTTTCGCAGCGATGCCCCGTTCACGCGCAACTGCGGCCTCCGCCAGGCTTGTCCGGGGACGACTATGAACAAGACGTGCCACCAGCAGGGCCTGTTGGAGAATTGTACCGCCGTCTACGATAGCCTTATTCCTGAGCAGCTGGCGGGGGTGTTCCGCGACGGGGCGAGTGGGTTCCGCCCTTCGGTCTCGAGTATATTCGACATGCAGTACCGGACTTTTTTCAACGGGACGGACGCGTACAGCGCGCTGGGATGGTATGCGAAACCGTCGTATCGTTCTCTGCAGGTTCTGATTCTGGATGAGAAGGTCGAGGCTGTGGAGGGGTTGATTGTTGATATGGTGGATGGGGTGATAGGGTTTCGGAATCATACGGCGCCGTCCAAGGCGCTCAAGTACGGGTCGACCTGGGACGAGGATATCTTGTTCGTCCAGCCGGAGACGCGGTGCGTGCCATTGAACTTCGCAATCGATTTCCTGCTGCCGTCGGATCTAGAGACGACCTTGTCTGTGGTGAATCTGGTGCTGAAAGATCACGGAGGGCTGTCGAATCTCGCGCAGCCTCGCCCGTCAATCAGTGTTCCTGTTAATGGACACGATTTTGAACTATGGCAGAGAGCGTGGAATGCAGCATGGTATAACAACTTCCTGACGCTGGCATACTTCAATGCCACCGATCCGGATCCTACCAATATCACCCGTCTGGATGTCACGCCAGGACAGACATTCCAGCTAGGGAGGGCGAACTTTACCCTTGGATATCGCAACATCCAGACCACAATCAGTCTGGGAGAGTACCTCGATCTTAGCGTCAGCAACTCGACCGTGAACCCGCACGGGATCGCCCAAAAAGACTTTGACCTTGCCAGTAAGTCCTTCCCCCACCGACGTGACAAAACTAACAGGACAGCAACCCTCTGCGGCGGCACGACCTCCTCCAGCCCATCCACCATCAACAGCACCCTCATCGGCTGCGGCCTCGTCTACGGCGCTGCCAACCGCACCGACGGCGTCTCTCCCCTGCGAACAGACCCAACCTCCCCGTGGAGCATCCCCCTCTACACCTGCGCCAGCGCCGTCAAGGCCGTCCTCAAGACAGTCTCCTTCCGATACAACGGCACCAGCCTCGACGCACTAGCCATCACCTCCGTATCCCAAAAAACCTACGACTCCCCCCCGCTCTGGGCCGTCGAACACCTCCCGATAGAATCCTCGCAGAAGTCCACCCCCTCTGGGGCATCCTCCCCGCAAACTCAATCCCCAAC